CCGAACTGAGGAGCATGATTTATGGAGACGGGACGCCAACCATGGACACAGATTCAGATTCTAGCATTCTAACCAATAGACCACGGCCGGCCCAGAGTGGAAAAGAAGCAAGATTGTCTTTATCAGCTAACCTGTCAATAAGAAAAGAGAAAGAAAATTTATTTATGACAAAATTGTATATTGATTTTTATATATTCAAAATTTTCAAATATTGACAAACAGGAAATGAACAAACAAAATTAAATGTATTTTAGTCACTTAGTGAAATATCGTATCCTAAAAGAAATCCCAAGTAGACTCAGTTGTGAGATAGCAAATTCTACTTTTATCTTGTTATGGTTTTGTTGACTGTTTATTTATTATTCCTCCTATCGTTTAGTTCAACTATGAATTTTTGCTTATATTAAAGAGCTAATTCACCTTCTGTCTAGAGCACTAAGATTTCGAGTAAGTATTGTTACGTCTCTGGTCGTTTGTTCATTTCCCGTAAAAATTCTTTCTAAAGAACTTCAGCGATACAAGTCCTTTCTTAAATAAAACTAGTTTATTCTTTTTCAATACAACTTTGCAATACACTTAATTTCCACAGCCACTTTAAATTAAACACACGCTATAATTTACACACTTTACTTACGGCTTGACTCGATTATATGTTTCTATATCTGCTCCTCCGGTTCCGATTAATTTATCTCGCTTTATCTGGCGCGCTTATATACAGGAATAGAGGGCGTCTAGCAAATACTGGATTATTCATGATGTTCCCCGATACTTCTAGAAACTCATCACGTGTTACCAGCGTCACGTGACTTCCACTGTCGTAACAGTAGGTATTAAGAAACTGACACCAGCTTTCCCTAGCGGTGACGTACAGATACTAATGTTGTTAAATATTATGTACATTTATGGTAATAACTAATCACACTGAATAAAAAGCCTTCTCTGATCTTGCAAACGAATTAGTTCACGAGATGTAGTTAGAATTATTGTCAATTATTACTCAAATTGTTCTTGATATTAAGAAGTGGTTTAATTTTGGAAAATGATGTTATTCTCTGGTGAATTAGGTTTTTATTCTTCTAATTCTTTTATCTAATTCCTTTGACATTTATTGAAATTAATAACACTGAGATCTTTGTTGTATTGTTTATTAACACGTGTATCTAGCCCTAGCCAGGCACGGGTTTACTAATTGTTTTCCCCCAGTGGCACAATGGTATGTCTGCAGACTTACCACATTAGAAACCGGTTTCGATACCAGTGGTGGACAGAGCAACAGATATACCATTGTGTAGCTTTGTGCTTAAGTTCATACAAACTGTTGTTTTTTTAAGTGATAAAATTTGTGTGATAGTTGTTTGAAAGTTTTATTTTGGATTTCTGTTGCTATATTTTAATAAAATATTTTTGTTTGCCCCTGGTTGTAATGGTGTTTTGTTTAGTCTGTTACACACTAAAGGGAAACTTTGTTTTAATAATCTGTTAATTCATTTTTTCGAAGATACTACTTGTTCAGATGATGGAATGGTGTGATTTGCAGGCATACCATGCATTTCCACCTTTTTATTCTAATATAACATTTTTTAAAATTGTTTATCCTGAATCTGTGCAGTTTTCACATAATGCATTGTTACTTATCTGCTTGTTTGTTAATTTCCGGTAGAAATTCTTTCCGAGAAACTTCATCGATACAAGTCCTTTCTTGGTTAAACCAGTTTATTCTTCCTCGATACAAACTTTTAGCACACAGTGATTTCACAATCAATACGTTTCTCGTCACTTTAAACTCCACAACTTCTATAATACACGCTATAAATCACAGCAATTAACAATCTCGATAACTTCGCTCTCGACACACAATTTATATTACCGTACTTACTGTTCGCTTCTTTGATTATCTGTCTATCGCTGGCTTCTCTGCCAGGCATACATACCAACGAATACACTCGGGTCTCCCCGATCATTCATGATCATTCGAAAAATTCATCACGTGTCACCAGCGTCACGTGACTTCCGCTGTCGTAACACTGCCCCTTCCTTAGTTATGTTCGTCCCGAACAATAG